GGGTTTTTGTTTGATCATGTTATTATTTTATTATTTTATGATTGTTTTATAGTTACTGGTTTTACTGTTGTTGGAAGCCGCCGAGAGTTGTTTAAGATGGGTGGCCATATACATCGTTTAAATAAATAAATTAAATAAATATGATTGTGCCACCATCTTGACTTTTTTAAACCTCCCCCCACAGACATCTATCTGTACCACTTCTTCTCTTAAACAAAGAGCTATTTTTCTCACATTTCTCATGATGCCAGGATGGACAGTTTCTCAATTTCAGAGCAACCGGATTGCTAGAATAAGCTTCTAATGGCATACTGTTTCATCAACTCTCAAAGAAATGCCATTGAATTTATATCTGTTGTTTATCAGCACTACTAATTCTTCAGTCATGCAATTTCTAACCCACGTATTCATCCCTAAAAACAATCCCAACTTTTTTTCCTTCTTGCATATCCCCATAGGAAGACAGGGTAGAAATATGCCTTTTCATCTACCTACCTGCAGCTTACTGGGTGCTCTTCATAAAGCCTGGGTTGCAGATTGCAGTTCTGTAATGCCAGACCATGAGGCCATGCTGGAGGGGGCCCATGGCCTCAGGAGGGCACCGATTTGCTACCCATTCTTTCTCTTTCTGAATCTTTCAGAATGAAATCCACATCAACGGGATAGACTTCATGCTTTTTGGGTTGCTTGATCCTGTTCCTGCTAATTACTGCTTACCTTGCCTCGCTATAGTATCAAGTGCTTTAGACTATCAATGGCAATAAATTAACCCTTGATTATTCTATCCGTACTGAAATCTAACTATTAGACTTACCTGTGGTAAAACATCCGAGCCATGCCCATTCTCTGCTTTTCTCCTCCAGAGAGGACATCTTTCCAGTCTATCACAGCATTCCACCCTTCAGGGAGAAACATGAGAGATACAAGTCTTTTGTGTTTATTTTAAAAACCCTTTGTAGGACAACATTAGTTAACAAAACAATATTCCCATGAAAACTATAAAATAGTGGCTCAGGCTGAGGAGAGGTCTTTGTTCAAAGAATAAAACACAATTTGCAGTGTACTTGGACATGCACATAGTACCTGCTGGGACACCTTCAAGCAACTTCATCTTTTCCTGAAGTTGTGTTGCTACCCTATACAGCTGATACGCAATTTTGGGAAAAGGCCTATGTGGTTTAAGGTATTCCCCACAGATATTACATGTGCCCCATGCATGCTCCATATCACATTTTGCCCTAGATCTCTAGAGTTTGAGCATATTTTAATGAGTTTGGATATTGGTGATTTTATACATTTCAGGCAACTTTCCAGTAACTCAATGACAGAGAAGCATATATAGAATTATTTCAGAAAAGTAAATCCCTAATTAGTCTTTCCAGAAAAGATTTTGAAGGTACACAGTAGACAGGGACAATTCTGTTGATGGATCTACTTATGCCAGCAAAATCAGTAGGAGGACAGTAGAACTTCTGAAGCTAGCAGAATGTGGTGGGAGCAGCTCTCCTTCCCGGTTCTGATGGCATTAGCAATTCCAGTTTTCTAATAATATGCCATATTTTCCAGTAAAAATCCATACCTCCTTCTCTCTGAATAATGTGATTCAGATGAACTATCTGCAGGATAAATTCCAGATCCTGGTCTTGGTATCCTTTTTCATGCATGTCATCCACTGAATCAGGATAGATGACTTGATCCCGAAGTGTTCCAAGGGACATGTAAGGCCTATAAATAAAGCAATAAAAAGAAAATTAGATTAGCCCTCTTGCCTGTGGAATCACATCTCAACCCTCCTATTTCAGGCTGCCAGCTGATGTTCTCTGAACAGCACATAATGCTTTAAATGCCATGTTTCTAAATACTGTAATTATTTGAGGATGACCGTTTCCTAAACTTGCTCCAAAGAACAATGCACTGTTTACAGAAGAAGTAATCCGATTTTGCTCCTTAGCATTAATCTCTGACTTGACTTCCCAGTGCTGATCTCTTGGTATAGGTATAGTTCATTCGTGATTCCAGGGGTGTCTCTGGGAGGGAAGGGGGGGAATAAAAAAATTCAAGCCACAATTGAAGTTCTGCCCCTTTTTTATTGTGTACATGAAAAGGGGCAGGGCTTCAATCGCATACTTGCAATTTGTTAAATTGTTGAAAAACGTATCCTCTCCCTTGAGAAATGTGGAAAAAATCATCCACATCTACTCTGTCACAAATCTGACGGAGAATTTGAAAAAGCTATTTCTGCCTAGCTCTTCCCTCGTCTGGGCACTTTGAAAAGAGACTGGAATCATTAAATTGTGGATCCTTTGGCGACATGAGCACATCCATCTGAGAAAATAACCTGTAAGCTAGAAAGCAATGGTAACAACTTATTATAGAAATAAGAAGCAAGTAGAATGACAAGCTGTTGTCATCCCAGAGTTGCTCCGTATGATTCGGCTGTATTGTAAGTCCAGTAATAGTTACAATTCCTCTTGGCTTTCTTGTACTGCCTGTGTGACAATTCTTCATTTTCTTGCATGCTAATTTCACTAATGATGTCATATCCTTTAAGAAATGCTAACACTCGCTTACAAAGAACAATACACATCACATTTATGACAAAAGCTGGCTGGAATAAAAATAACAATTGGAATTTACAGTTCATGTTCTTACAGGGAGGATTAAAGCCCCAATCCTGACCTAGATTCTGATAAAAGCAAATAAGGGAGGCTGAAAAATGGGAGTTACTACTTTATATGTGTAGAAGCAATTTATAATCATTATTACGTAGAGGTGCAATACATCTTCTGCACGTTCTACCGCTAGGTTTCATTTTAAGCCCCCTCCCAATCTTTTTTTATTATTATTTATATTTAGAATTGTACATACAGTAAAAGTCAAATCTAAAGAAAAAGTTAGAAAAGAAAGAAAAGAAGAAAAAGATGCAAGAAAAAAAGAATAAAAACTACAGTTATGAAATATAATGACATTTGACCTTCTCTTCAACAGATACTTACAATCTTATAATCTTCCCTCTCTCTTAGATGTTATACAAATCCCTTCAAACCCTCACTTAGTCCACATCTTTTTTAATCCTCCAACCCATAAATCATCATATTATTTTTTTCTCCCTCCCTCCTCGTCCGTTCATCACTGCTAATGGTTCTTCATTTTTAAATAATATGTTATTTTGTCTACTGAAATGAGTTCAAGAGTGTTTCAGGCCAAGTTACAGTTTCCACAATTCTTTAAGGTATAAATAATTGATTTTTTGCCTAAAATAACCGTCAGTGAGCTTCTCTGTCCAGTATCTAGCAGTGTCTGTTAAATATTTCAAGGAGCTCAGTTACTACAACTGAATTTAATTAGCTTCTACCTACTAGAACAGCTTACTCAGCACAGAGCTTAGAGTTTTCATAGCAGGATGTTATAATTAGAAGTCATCCTGCTGTCACAGGAAGAGATATTGACCAACAATTCCCCCATTGCAGACAGTGCACAAATCTTCAACATGGGATATCAAAGAAGGGAAAGACACCATAAGCTAGGCTTAAAAGTATGCTGTGATTTCATGTTGGAGGGGAGGGGTCTTTTACAGAGCACAGTCTATAAATGGATTTCATCAGGAGTCCCAATCCACTGGAAAAATAAAGAAGAGCCACCTGTCAATCAAGATGAGAGTCAGCCCTGTGGAATCTCAAACATCTTTCAAAATACCTCCTGCCCTTTTACCACACCTACATGGGGCTCAGGCGCCAAAAACCAGAACCACCGAGTGATAAAAAAAGACTAGAATACTGTATACAGCTGAACATCTTTAGAGTTTGATAAATAGGGCTATGTGGCACTCTGGATTCAAGGGCAAATGTGTGTTTTGGAACATATGGGGGCTTTTTCCTGGCACCCGTATGCAACTCCATAAAGTAGGTGCATCATTTCCTCAGATCACGTGGTTGTGTTTGGCCTCTGGAATTGCAGACAACTGCTGCGGGAGGCAGAAATGCTGGACTGGAGCACAGAGGACCACTGCAAGGACCAGGATCACAACTTTGCTGCAGTTGTAGGGAAGCTCAAGCAAGTAGTGGGCACCACGGAAACAACCACCATAGTTGTTTCCTGTCCCCTTTCTTTTTCCTGCCCTCTCTCCACCATTGCTTGTCTCTTTGTCCCTAAAAAACTGTAGGTACCTGGTTTTTTTTCTCTCTCAGTGCCACCCTCCACTTCCAGTGTTCAGCTCTACTGATGAATTACCAAATCTGTCTCTGATGCCACTACAGGTCCCATTATCCAGCCCGACAGTCAACATACTTAGCAGCCCTCTGCCTTCAGATTCCTCTCATGCCATCGTCACAGGTCCCATCTGTCTGGCTTCCACAGACAAACATGGCTAGAAACTATACTTTTATTATATTCCAGAAAACAAAGTCATGTGAAATACTTGGCATATAGTGAGTGAGCAGAATTTATACCCAATCAGAGCTCAGGCCTTTCATACATTCTTGCAGTGCTGCTCTCAAAACAGGCAGAGGAAATCTTGGATTTCCTCTTATCTGTAGCCTTGTAACGACAGAGGCTTATTTGCAATTTCTGCATTCCTGTTCTCCTCTCCTCCCAGATCCTGCAAGCTCTGCTGGGCATTTCCAGCAACTAATTAAGCCATGTTATCACTTTCTCACAACTGCTCATGACCTACCTAATCTCTGACTTGTTATCACTGACCATTCCTTTCATGCGACATAAACCACGAGCATCTACCTAGCCCCCTTCTCAATCTTCTTTTCCCTTTCAGGATAATACTTTTTTAAAGAAAGTACACAAATAGCATTAATGTTAAGATGAATGCTAACTTTGGACAAAGCCTCTGTCATTCAAAATGTCATGCCTGTGCAAAGAGGTGTGACAAATATCAAGATCAATATTTCACAAACTGTGAAAAATAATCCCTGTATTACTATTACTATCTATTAATCTAAGAATTATGGTCTGAGATTTTAGTAATTCTAATCCCTGAATTCAACTAGTACTCTGCTTGGGTATGTGTCTGGCCATCACTGTGACTTAGATGAGATGAGAAAAAATGATACCTAATCTCTTAAAACCAATACTTATGGAGGTTGTCCAGGAACTCGTATATACTGTACATTTTCTAATGGTAAATGGTAAAATAGTAGTAATGGTAAATCATTTTTCAAAAGAGATTTGAAAATCTCTTTTCAGATCACTTCTGCACCTGTCACCATGTATGATGTAAAAATCAAATTTACTACCTCACGGCTGTGAGCTCAGCCACCTGTGCCCTGGACTCGTGTCCTTCTTGGTTGGTCAAGGCCTCCCAGGAGGTGTCGTGCAGTTGGCTCCAAGTGGTGGTTAATGCCTCTTTACAGGAGAGGGTGGTACTGCCTGCCATAAAGGAAGCATTGGTACATCCCCTTCTCAGGAGGATACCCTTGGACCCAACAGTACTAGACAATTTTTGTCCAATTTCCAAGCTTCCCGTTTTAGGGAAGGTTGTTGAGAGGGTAGTTGGCTCACAGCTGCTGAGGGCCCTGGATGAAGTGGATTATCTGGACCCTTTCCAGTTTGGGTTCAAGCTGGGTTACAGTATGGAGATAGCACTGACTCTGGAGGATGATCTCCGGAAGACTCGAGAGAGGTGGTGCAACTGTCCTGGCCCTCCTGGATCTCTGGGCAGCTTTCAATACCATCAACCATGGTGTCCTTCTGGACTGGCTTTGGGGACTGGGAGTGGGAGGCCCTGTTTTACAATGATTTTCCACTTTGCAGCCAGTTCCAGTCAGTGTTGGTGGGGTGGGGGAGAGGTCTAGCCCTCGGTCCCTATGGCATGGTGTGCTTCAAGGCTCTCACCACTCCTCTTTAACATTTACATGAAATCTCTGGGTAAGGTCATTTGACAGCATGGGGCATGGTATCATCAGTCCGCTGATGATACGCAGTTATTCATAGACTCATAGGAAGGGACCAAGAGGTCATCAAGTCCAACCCCCTGCTCACTGCAGGATTCATTACACCACAGAAAACAGAAAATGCTCCACTAATCTAAGAATCCAAGGGGATCTTCGTAAACATACTGTATGTATGACATATTGATAGGTTATTCTTCTTTCCTTTTTTCTTTTAATTTTTGAGCTACTCTGAGCAAGACATGAACTCATTTTGTAGCAAACAAAAACTCAAACCTTTGTGGAATGTAGAACATATGCTGAGGAGGTGGTTTGTATAGCACTCCTTCATAGACAGGCCACAAACCGCTTAGAATTCTGAAAAGGGAACTCTTCCCACAGCCGTTGGGACCAGCAATTAGAAGATGCATTCCTTCCTCAACCTACAAAATAGAACGAGGGACACAATAACGTTTGAGAGAGCAATTACTTTCACCCGGCTTTTTATCATGATGATTCACACCATCCATACCCAAACATGCTGATTCAATGACTAACATTAACCAGTGACCTCAAGATTTGGTTAATTTTGTATCCTTGCTCCCTGTCTGGATCCTTAGTTTGCATAAGAAATTTAAGCACAACTGAAGGGGACCGAAGGAATGAATTATTTCCAAACATATGTATCTTTCACAAGACACTGCCAACAGTTAATCATTGGCATCCCTAATGCAGACTAAGGGTTTCCTCCGTCCTGATGGTACCCAATCCCACTTTTAGATTAGTAATGGAAAGCAACCTATACATAAATACCGAGCTCCAAGCTATTATTGCTCATTGAAACAAGAGCTATATATGCGGTGTTGTGCATTACGGTTTGCATATTATTTTTGTTTCCTGTTTTAGTTACAATCAAATTTATTTTAAACATAGGAGCATTTGTTTCCTATGAAGACAGGGAAAGGTATACCCATATATCAAGTGATGGCAAATTCCAGTTCTGGGTACTTCTTAGATTGTAGCTGTAATTCTAGGGGAAATCAAACCTTTTCCTCAGTTAAACTGCACTGATAAAAAGTGAATTCAGAATTTTTATATTACACAATCTGTTGAGTATAGCAGTCACAATGTAGCAAGATTCAAATTATTTCCCACAAAGCCCCTTTTTATGATGGCTCCTTCTCTTTAGCAGAAATTATGTAGGCCTATATTTAGCAAAACAGCTTTAAAAGACTATTAGAACAGAAGTTGTTTCTGCCCATCCCATAGGACCTTACAGGACTGGCATGCTCTGGGTTGACTGATGATATGGTGCCAGAAAAACACCTTCAGGTTGGATGACACTCAACATGCTACTGAGGAAGAACTAAGGATATTTTGGAGTACTAATGTTGTGTCTAGATTAAAGCCTTCAGAATGTCTAGTTGCCGATGTTGCCATACAGGAAAAGAAAATCTGAAACTGCAAAGACAGAATTACAGTGGGAACATGGAAGATAACAAGCATGAACATGGGAAAATTCAACACAATGAAAGATGAAATGAATCAACCAGACACTGACATCTTAGGCATTAGCGAACTGAGACGGACTGAAATTGGATCATATTATTTACTATTCAGGGCATGAAAAACAAAGAAGCAACAGCAATGGTTTCATAGTTAGGAAGGATATAGCAAGAATATATTGGCTAGGCAATCAATGACTGAATAAAATCTGACTGACTTTGTGGACAACCATTTAATATGATTATCCAAGTTTATATTCCAACCATTAATGCAAAGGAAGAGGATACTGACAGGTTTTATGATTAAGTTAAATGTGAAACCAACAGAACATGCAGGCAAGATGTGCTGTTTGCGGTTGGAGACTGGAATGCCAAAGTTAATTAATTAATTAATTAATTAATATTGAGGAGGGAAATGTAGTGGACTGTATACCCTAGAAAACTAAAATCAAGCAGCAGAATGACTTATCAGTTTCTGCCAACCCAGTGATTTGTTCATTGTTAGCACTGTCTTCAAACAACCAAAACAATGTCTCTATACATTGACATCAACAGATGGAGTACACAGAAGTCAAATTGACTATATTATTTGTTCAAGGAGGTGGAAGAGCTCAATTGTAACAGCAAAGATGTGGCTAGGAGCTGACTTACAGATCACAAACTGCTCGTGGGAAAGTTCCAAATTAAGCTAAAGTGGAAGAAGAAAGCCAATCAGTTTTCATGATGTGATCTTGACCATATAGTCCCCATTTTCAAGGAGGTCATCTTGAAATCCTGAACCTCATAGATAGGGATCCAGAGGAATGAATTTAAAGAAAGTTATTAAGGATGAATATGAAAAGAGATTGCCACAGATCAAGAAATAGAAGAAAGCAAACTGGATGTCAGAACTAACCGTGGAAATTGCCAAGAAGAGAAGCCAAAGCCAAGAAACAAAAAGATTTCAGGAAATAACAAAGAGTTTCAGAGAGCTGTTAGAAAAGACAAGAAGCAGTATTACAACATCTGTAAAGACATCAGAGATGGAAACAGACATGAAAAAACAAGGAAAATCTTCCAAAAATTCTCTGAACTCAGAAGGAAGTTCTAATCTCAAATGTATGTCTTTATTTAAATGTATTGGCATGCTAAAGGATCCAATGGACAGATAGTAACTGTTTTAAAGAAGACCAAACAAAAATGAAACGGGTATACTGAAATTCTGAATAGTAAAAATGTGAATATCCAAGATACCTTAGAAGATACTCCCTACTTACAAGAACCTCTAATACTAGAAGATGAAGTTAGAGCAGCTTTCTGGACATTACCACCTGCACCAATTCTACTAGTGGTAATGTGCTATGAAGGCAAGCATTGAGCAAACAGAGAATTGACTAAACTTTACTAACACTTCATCCACATCCCCAGGTTGTAAGAACAAAGTAATCCACAGGGACTCTAGTGCACACTGAACTAGTGCACAGAATACACACTTTAGCAGGAAATGGCTCAATTTACAATCACCATTTTGAGAATAACATGGGGAGATGTTCTATCTTTGGTCTCACTATTAACGCTGATCTTCCTCTCTACCACAAAGCTGATCCTTCTATCATTATGAAAAAGAGTATGTTTTGTCTTTTTTTTTCCCTAGTGGCTTCTCCATATGTTACTAAGCTATGATGAGGAAATGAGGAAAGCTGACCTTAGATATATAATTTTCCTGAGTCTCCCTAGATTTCTTTATGTTTACCATACAAAAAACTGCATTTCTTCTCCTCTTGGAATCATAGATGTGGTAACCCAGTTGTGGTAATATCAGAGTAACATAGGAGTGACCTATGCTCTGAACACCCTAGTTGCGAGGTTCAATCTGGAAACATAATCAGAACACAGTCAAATCACTGTCTAGCTCTTCTCACATTCCAGTCCATATGTTCCAGTCAGGACACTGAGGGAAATAAAATCTGGTCCCACCTCCCAGTTTTCATCTGACCACTGCCTCTTGAGCGCTGTGCATTGAATAGAATAATAAGAGGCCTGAATTTGTACAATAAGGCCCATGTGCATGAATGGGGTTTTCATAGCTACTGACTGCAGACATATTCAGTAACTGTAGTTATTTCTCATGTTCTTCCAGAGCATGGGGACCAGAAGATACATGGGTCCTTGATTACCTAAAATAGGGTAAGCTAAAC